TGTTTTTCACGCTGGAACTTTCTCATTTCCTTAACCCACCCCTCCTTCCATCCATTAAATTGTGCAACCTCAACCTTTCCTCACCTCTGTGTTCCCCCCTTCCTCTCTTTAGAGTCTCATACATGTTTTACTAGTTATCCATTTCTACAATAATGGCTTTATATGGTTATTTGTCCTTTTGGGATTGAGTTAGTTCACTTAGCATAATGCTCTCCAGTTCCTCCCAAGTTAGGTAATGATTTATAAAATCATTGTTCCTGCATGTTCTTTATTATTCTGTCATGTGAATGTACCTTAATTTTTCAAACTATCCTATCCTATTGTAGTTGACCATTTGGACTGTTCTCATGATAGTGAATAACACTGCTATGAACATTGGTGTGCAAGTCTCCATTTGGGCATTTTCTTGGGATATATTCCAAGCACTGGAATAGCTGGGTCATATGAAATTTCAATTTCAGCTTTCTGAGGAAGTGCCAAACTGCCTTCCAGAGTTATACCATTTTAAAATCCCACCAACAATGTATAAGAGTTTTTATTTTGCCAATCCTCTTCAACATTTTTTATTTGCTGGCCTATTAAACTCAGCCACTGCTACTGGAATAAGGTAATATCTCATTGTGGTTTTGATTTGCATCTCTCTTATTTCCAGTGATTTTGAGCATTTCTTCATGTGTCTGCTGGTCATCAGAATATCTTCCTCTGTGAAAAATCTTTCCATTTTTCTGCTCATTTTTTAATTGTGTTGCCAGTCTTTTCCTTGTAGAGGCCCTGCAGGATTCTGTAGAATTTTCATATGAAACCATTGTTTGAAATGGTATTGCCAAATGTTTTTTCCTAATCAGTAAGTTTTCTCTCTGTTGCAAAATGTTTCTGATGGGCACAGAGATTTAACCTTTAGAAGGTCCTATTCATCAATTTTATCCTCTCTAGACTATGCATTTCTGGCTGTATTTTGGCAGGCTTTTTATACTGTAGACTAGGCTGTTTAAGCTTGATCCCAGTTTGTCTCTGAAGAACATAATGGTTTTGGTATCTACTCCCAGGGCTTTGAGCCACATTGAGTTGATTTTTGTGTATGATGTGAGATGTGGATCCTGTTTCAGCTTTCTGAAAGTAGCAGTCCAGTTTTGCCAAAACCATTTTTCAAGGAGATTGAAAAGGAAATTGTCAGGTTTATTTGGAGAGGAAAGAGACCCCAAATAAGCAAAGCACTTCTGAGAAACAAAAACAAAGTTGGGAGGCATAGCACTCCCTGACCTCAAAACCTACTACACAGCAGTAGTAACCCAAACAGCATGATGCTAGTACAATGACAGGCACATAGACCAATGGAACAGAATTGAGAACTCAGAAATAGACTCAGCTATCTATGGTCAACTGATATTCGATAATGAAATAAAACCTATCAAATGAGGAAATGACAACCTCTTCAAATGGTGCTGGAAAAATGGATCTCAGCAGTGGTATCCAGGTACCATCTGATTCTTTTGGTCTTAAAATCATAGAAGTTGAACTTTGCAGGATTCAATAGTTCTCTCAACTTGTTATTTCAGTACATATTTACATTTATTCCCTCTTCTTGGTTTCAGACAGGGAGAGAACAATAGTTCTACCTTCAATGTCTACCGACAAGATTTTATGACCTTGACTTCCACTTACCGAAGTGCAATGTAGGACACTGTCTTTGTGGAGAAATTGAACTTTACAGGCCTCCAATACCCCAGATCCAGTAACACATTCCATAAGGCTATTTTGTTATGTCTAAGGCAGTTATAACACTTTACCTTCGTTGGTTCTGCTTTATGCAGTGATGCTCTGGTTGCCTAGTGGTAAGAAGCTGTACTGCAATGCTGGAGGCACATGGTTCAAATTCACCAGATGCTCCATGGGAGAAAGATGAGCAATCTCCTCTCGTGCGATTAACTGCCTCTGAAAAACTCACTAGAGGGTCAGCTATGAGTGAGTTCCAACTTGATGGTAAACAACAAGCTAGAATAGGTTATTCCTTGGAGATGGACATCATGCTTGGAAAGATGGAGGGACAGCAAAGGAAAGGGAGATCTTCAACCAGGTGGATTGATACAGTGCCTGCAGCAAGCAATGAGCTCAAGTATGTCAGAGATCACGAGGATGGTACAGGATGGGACCAGATTCAGATCTATAGCTCATAGGGTCACAATAAGTCACACTCTACTCACTAGTACATAACAACAGCAACATTATTAATATGAATGTAGAAGTATCATCCACTAAACTCATCATCTTCTTATTGCGTATTGCCTTCCCTCTTACCCATCTTAATATGTCTCTTATATATTTACTACTATGTATTTTTTTTACTACTTTTTATTCCTCTCTCCCTCCCTTTGGAAGCAGGAGTGACATCCACTTCCTAAAACACATGCCTCTGGAAACTCTATGAACTTTGATAAATGACGATAGTTATAGAAAGGCTTCAGGCCTTTTGTTCCTTGGGTCACTATGAGTCATGCTTAACTCGATGGCAATCAACAACAACAACAACAACAAAATTACCTGGTTTAAAGACACTCCTTTATTTGCCCAGAATGCTCCATTTTAACTTTTATATTTTGAGCTTGACTTGAATTTGGTCTTTCAGTATGGCTTTGTCTGCTGTATGAACCCAAGTGAAATAAACTTACCCTGAATATGAGGTCTGTTAACTTGGCAAGATAAAGAAAAACAATTTTATCAAAACAACTCAATGACCTTTGAAGATAAAAGAAAAGTTTCTCCACTGTGCGTGATGAATGTCCCCCAGTGAAGATCTGATTTAAAGGAGGAAATTGACCAACAGACCTTCAAATTAGAATTCATTAACTCAGAATTTTGAGTAATGAATTAACATGGCGAAGCATATGATGGCACTTTTTTGTTTGGAGTTTTTATTGGAGTGTTGAGCTGTGTTTTGTTGTTGGCTTTTTGAGTAGTTTTTGTGACAAATATGTTTTTTAAAAGTGCTTTCACCATTTATTATCAGGAAATATATGATTGGCTGGTTGTGGAAAAATTATTTGTGGTCACATTAGATTATGTGTACAAAACTCACTTTGGCTCATGTCCAGTGGTACACTTTGTACTTTTCCATGGTACCAACACAAGATACAATACTCCTCAATAAAGTTCTTTTTATTTTTTTTCTGTTCCTAACAGAATACGATTTTTGTTCCTTGACAGCATAGTAACTCCATACCTGTGTGTTTGCAAGAAAAACCTTAAAGCCTGTGTTCATTAGCCTGGCAAATGGGGCTACATATCAAGACAGTATTTAGTAGTCACATATTGGGATATATCCAACAAGTTTTAGAGAACACCTACTAGGGCCATAGAGAAGAATATTTGAAATTAGAACTCCTCAAAAAAGCTGGGAATGGTTGTCTCATACACACCAGCTCATTTGAAACCTATACTTGAACCAGGAGGTAGTTGTCAGAACAAACAAGGAAAAACTGCATGGTTCAAAATTAGAAAAAAAGTGCATCAGGAATGTGTTCTATCTCCATATCTTTTAAATCTATATGTAGAATAGATCATTCAAGAGGCTGGACTTTATGTGGAGAAATGTGGCATCAGGATTGGAGGAAGACTCATCAACAATCACAATCTCACTTGCTGAAACTGAGGAGGACCTAAAGCATTTGCTGCAGAGTCTAAAGAACTGTTGTTTGCAATAAGGACTGAAGCTCAACATCAACAAAACAAAGATTCTCACCACTGGGCTAACTGACAACATTATGATAGATGGGGAAGAGAGTCAGATTGTTAATAGTTACAGCTTGCTTGATTCCCCAACAATCCTCTTGGCACCAGCAGTCAGGTGCCAAAAGGTGAATTACACTGGGAAAAATCTGCTCTCAGGGACCTCTTTAGAGTGCTAAAGAGCAAAGATGTTAGAGACTAAGGTGCACCTGTTCCAGATCATGGTCTTTGCAATTATGTGCAATGCACCAGTAAGCTGGACAATGACCAAGGATAACAGAAGAGTTGATGACTTTGAGTTATGGTGCTGGAGAAGGGTATTGAACATACCATAGAATACCAAGAAAACTAATAGGTCTGTCCTAGAGAGGGTGAAACCAAGCTGCACCTTGGAGGTAAGGATTTTGAGGCTCCTTATCTTACACACTCCTGTCTCACATACTTTGGGAATGTAGCCAGAAAGGACTAGTCTTTGGAGAAAGATAACATGCTTGGAAAGGTCAAGGGACAGGGCAGGAGAGGAAGACCTCGGATGAGATGGACTGACACAGCAACTGGCATAATGAGGGTAGGTGTGTCACAGACAGTGATATTGGCTCAGGATAGAGCAGGGTTCAGAGCTACTGTGTATAGGGTCGCTACGAATCGTAGTAGATTAAACAGTACATAACAACAGCATCACATCAGCTCTGATGACCTAATGGGAAGGAGTTGCACTGCCAACCCAAAGGTAAGCAGTTCAATATACCAGCAGCTCTGCAGGAGAATTATGAACAATCTCCTCTCGTATAATTTAAAGCCTCTGAAAACCCACTGGAGGGTCAGCTATGAGCTGGTTCCTACTTGACAGGGCTTAACAACAGCACCACAAACATCACCTCATAGGTCCTGTTCTCAATCTTCCCTGACCACTGTCAGTCCTACCATATTGCCTTAACTTTTCCCTTTCTTCCACCTTGTTTGATTTCTCAGAAACAATGACACTAACCATGCTGCAGTAGATTGGGGGGGGGGGGTGTTAAAGGGCACCTTATGTGTAAAGTCCGTGGCTAGTAGGGTCAAAGTGAGGCATAGTAGATAAATTAAGTTCCCCAAACTGTGAAAACTCTTACTCCTATGAAGGAATAGGAAAGAGAGGCTAATGTAGTTCTGAAGAAAATCTTGAGGGACTTTGAGGATTAGCCTATTCCGCGTGGCTGCTGGGTGGGTACTGGAAAACAGATGAAACTGGACATTTTTTATTCATTTATAGGCATAGGTCTTTTTTGTATTCTTACTCAGTGTTGCTTAGAAAAGAAGTTCTTGAAGGCGCTGTTGTAGTTCTTGTTGAAAGCTGTGTAGATCAGAGGGTTAAAAAAGGAATTGGAGTAGCCAAGCCAAAGAAAAATGCTTTTCCAGATGGCAGGGATGTCACACGAGCAGAGGGGGCTGATAAGCTCGGTGATGAAGAAGGGAATCCAGCAGAGCACAAACACCCCAATGAGGATGCCCACCATCAAGGCAGCTTTCTGTTCTTTCTGTTCTCTCCACGTGTCCCCTTCTGTCTGGAAGGTGACAGTAGCATGGCGGGCAGTGAACACCATCTGAGGAGGTCTGGCACAGTCCTTCACCTGTAAAAGAGAAGCAGAAGGTTTAAAAACCTTCCCCTTTGCATAATCAACAAGCTACTGCAAAAAAATGAACCTAGGCACAGACTGGTTGCACCATACAGTTCACTCTCAGCAAAAGGCCTTGATTTTCAGGGAAGTGGGGCTGACAGACTTGTTAAACTAACACAGAACAACTAAAAGAACAATGTTGACAGAGTTTGGTTGTTTGCTTCCACTACTGCTTTCTATTCAATGAAGCATGTTGTTGTGTGCCGTCAAGTTGCCTGCTACTGATAGCAACCTCTGTATAACAGCTATAAATCCTTCTCTATCCTGTGCCAACCTTATTGTCTCTGACACACCTACCCCCATTATCCCAGTCACTGAACCAATCCACCTCATCGAGGGTCTTCCTCTCGTGCGTGGTCCCTCCACCCTCCCAAGCATGAAGTCCCTCTCCAAGGACTGGACCGTCCTTGCAAAATGTCTAAAGTATGTCAGACAAAACTCTGGAATCCTTGTCTCCAAGGAGCAGCCTTGCCTCACTATCTCTAGGACGAATCTGTTTTTTCTCCTAGCAGGTCATGCTATATTCAATACTCTTGGCACCACAGCTCAATGGTATCAATTTTCCTTCTATCATCCCTAGATATTGTCCAGCTTTCTGACACATAGCAAATAATTGCAAAGACTATGGCCTGAATCAGTCACACTTTAGTCTCCAGACTGACATCATTGCTCTTCAGTGCTTTGCAGAGGTCTCTGACATCAGCCTTTCCCAATGCAATTAATCTTTTAATTTTCTGACTGCTGGTACCAAGAGTGTTGATTGTGAAGCCAAGCAAACTAAAGCTGTTAGCAATCTCAATCTCTTCACTATCTATTATAATACTGCCAATTGGCCCAGTGGTGAGAATTTTTGTTTTCTTGATGTTTAGCTTCAATCCATATTGAAGGCTGCAGTCTTTTTTTATTAATTTTTTCATTATTTTTTGTGTGCATACCATCAAATTGGATCTGACTGGTACAGGAGGAGATTGCCCGTCCTCCAGCAGAGCATCTGGTGGATTTGAACCATGCACCTCTGGGATTGCAATGCAGCTTCTTGCCACTAGGCCATCAGAGCTCCCTTGGCTGTAGTCTTTGACCTTCTGCAGCAAGCACTTCAAGTCCTCCTCAGTTTCAGCAACAGGGTTGTATCATCTGCATAACGCAGATTGTTGATGAGTCTTCCACCAATCCTTATGTCACATTCCTCCTCATAGAACCCAGCTTCCCAGATAATCTGTTCTGCATTCAGGTTGAAAAGATATGGAGTTGGACACATCCCTGGTGTACACCCTTCCCAATTTTAAACCATGCAGTGCTCTGTTCTGATAACTGCCTCCTTGTCCAACTATAGATTTCGCATAAGCACAATCAAGTGTTCTGGGATTCCCATTCTTCTCAGAGTCAGCCACAATTTATTGTGATACACACAGTCAAATGCCTTTGCATATGCAATAAAGTACATGTTATCAATAAGCAGACCAAGCTATATATTCAATTTAGGAGTGATGTTACACAAGTAACTAAAAGTGCACTAGTACGTTTTATAAGAACTAGACATTGTTGTAAAACTTCATTTCAAAAGCCTTGTAGAGCCATACATAGAACCTTGTTATGGAATTAAATTCCCCAGAAGACATGTTGAAATCCCAACTTTTGCCCCTGTATTGCATTTAAGAGTTTGGCATGCCTGCTTTCCATAAATATGGGGTGAAAAAGAAGACACACAGAATAAAACTTCACAGAGATACATTTCCCAGTGAGTAGACTGTCCCAAATAAGTAGACTATGTCATGGACATGAAGCAGAAGTTCTAGGCAGCTCCAACATTTTAGAGAGGATTAATATGAACCCAGAAAATTACAAGGATTTTAGAAAATAATGTCTGCTTTTATTTCCTAGACATGCCACAGCAAAACACTGCAAAGAAAGTGGCTTTGAAAAACAGAAGTTTATTTTCTCATAGTCTTCGAGGCTGGACAGAAATCTGAATTTAGAGTATCAGAAGTGCCTGGCTGCATGTTCAGGCTCTATGGGAAGAGCCTTATTTTTGTATTTTAGCTTTTATAGTCCCAGACATACCTTGGCTATCCTTGCCTGTTGTTTGAAAAAAAAAATAGTGAAGTGTCAAATATTTTACAATAATAAGATAATAAATATTGAAACAAGTGAATAGTTAATTATGCTGCTATTCTTTAAACAGAAAAGAAAAAGTGAAATCTATTTTGCAAGCCAATCTGTTATTTCATGGAAAAGAGGTCTCAGGGGTTCCCTCCGCTCAAGGCTTAAGCAGTACCTTAGTGCAGTTGCCTTGAGTAGTTTCAACAGGTCAAATAAGTCTAGATTTTTTGGTAAGAATTTGAGTCCTTGTTTCAGATTTTTTCACTTTACAGCGAGGACGTGTCTACTGGACCCTAATGGCCAGCAGTGGTAGCTGAGGACCATCTTTTAGTCTCTGGGTAGAGGAAGCAATAGTTCATGTAGATTATTAATCCTGTTGTCTTGGTTCTTTGAATATTTGGTTTTCACTTTCTTTTTTTTTTTTTCGAATAGTTGTATCTTAGATGACTGCTTGCAATATTTCAAGACTCCAGACATTATTTACCAAATTATGATGTACAACATATACTTTATGAATCTACAATCAAGAAATTAAAGGATATATTGCATTAGGCAAATCCACTGACATCGACCTCTTTAAAATATTGAAGAGCAATGATGTTGCTTTAAAGACTAAGGTGCAACTTACCTAAGTCATGGTATTTTCGATTGCTATATATGCATGTGTTGTCATTCATAGTGTAGCTGTAAGTCGTCTCTGACTTGACAGCACTTAACAACAATAACAATGACAATATAGAGAGGGCTACATTGGCCTAGTGGACAGAAAGTTATGCTACCAAGCCCAAGGTGGGTGATTTTAATCTGCAGCCCTCAGGCCTGATTTTAATTGTTTTTTGTCAAACAGTCTTCTAAGTGGTATAGCACTGGTCTCTGCATTGCTGTCCAGAGGTAACTCATGGTTGCTAGAATGCTAGACACTGTGGCACTGATGTGCCAAATGCGATAATGGTTACTCATGGTGGACAGTGTTTGGTGGAGCTCCCTGATTAAAACAAGTTTGGAAGCAGGAGTGGCATCCACTTCTGAAATGGCTTGCCTCAGGAAACTCTATGAATAGTGCTCAGGTTTTTCATTCATAGGGTTGCTATGAGTCATCTACAACTCAACGGCACTTAACAACCAACATATATGCACGTAAAAGTTGGAAATGTGTAAGCCCAAATAAGAATTAACGCCATTGACTTGTGGTTTTGGTGAAGAGTGCTGAGTGTACCATAGATTGTATATTATGCATTTGAATAAAACAAATGCAGGCAGAGAGCTCCTTTTAAACAAGGATGGTGACAGTTCATCTCACTGTTTGAGCATTCCCTGAAGAAACCATTCCCTGGAGACAGATGTCATACTTGAAAAAGTATTGGGTTAATGAAAGAGAAAAATAACCTCAACAAGATGTACTGACATAGTAACCACAACAATGGATTGAAGCAGAGCAGAGATTGTGAGGATGGCACAGGATTGAGCATGATTTTATTCTGTTGTACGTAATATCACTATGAATTGAAAATTTATCAATTGCTTGCGTCATCCCACAAAACTGTGGTCCTAAGCTTTCAAGTTCAGAAAAACAATTACATGAGGTATCTGGTTATGCCTAAAACATATTCTTCCCATCAACAAACGAGTGGGTAGAGAAGCTGTGGTATATTCACACAATGGAATACTATGCTGCATTGGAAAACAAGGAACTCATTCAATATTATTCAAAATGGGTGAGCCTGGAGGACATTATGCTGAGTGAAATATCTCAGTCGCAAAAGGACAAATATTGCATGGTGCCACTGCTGTAAAATGGGACTGATATCAGGGTGGGGGTAAGACTGAGAAAAACTGGATAAATTGTGTATACTGCACTGAAACAGATGAGGGACTGAACAATTTAAAAGCGATGTGTGATAGGGTATTATGGTTATCACAAGAGTCCACAATTAAGGTTGCATAATGGAATGTACTTGGGGCGGTGGGAGGGGTGCGGGGGGATTGTGTACCAGGGAGGGAGTCTTTCTTTTACTTTTGAAAGAGAGGAGCGAACTGGGGGGCAGGAGGAGAGGGCTGGGTGGGGAGAGAAGTGCAGCAATGAATGAATGGAAATCCAAATTCTCTGTAAATGTTCATTAAAATTATTTTTTTAAAAAAGAAAAAAAAACATATTCTAACTGTGAACCTTAAGTGCTTCATTAGATATAAGAATATGTACGTACATATAGTCACATAGGCATATACCTATATACAAAGAGATATATTACACACACATACATATGTATGCGTCCATACAGATATACCTACATATACATGTATTTGTTGTTGTTGTAATAACCCATAGGGCTTTCTCTTTACAAAAACAGATCACTGAATCTCTCATGAAATCAATGAGTCGGTTCAAATCAGCAACTTTATAGTTAGAAGCTGGGCATTTAACCATTGCTTAGATTTCAGGTATCACAAAGTAGTTTCACAGGAAGTACATTGTTTCAAATAGTTGTCCCTGTTGAGCAGTGTAACATAAGTGAAAGCTTATGTACATGTTAACTTGATTTTAATAATTGTGTTCTTCCTTTTGAATCACTGAATGTTGTTGTTGTTATGTGCCTTAGAGTCAATTGGGACTCAGAGTGACTATGCCTCTGACACACCGACCCTCATTACCCCAGTTGCTGTGTCAGACTGTCGCATCCACGTTCTTCCTCTGCTGCATAGTCCCACCCTCCACTATTCCGAAATACCGGTGCTTCAAAGCCATCCAGAGGCATCTTTGAAAACAGATGTAACTGTTTCTGAAAATTCACACCCTGGAAAATCCTAGAGAGCAGCTCTACTGAGTAGCCATGAGGTCACTAGGAGTTGGAATT